GTTCGTTCTGGTTGGTTTAAATTCTGAAGCTCCATTTTTGACTCTGTGCTCCGTGTGGCCTTGCAAAGCTAATTGCCAATTAGGTCTTTGGCAGCGTGTCAAGGGAGATAAAGGTGGGTGCTTCTCAGCCTTATTCCGAAGGACCGTGGCAGACTTCTGTCAGACTCTTTACAAACTATTTATGACTCGTTACGGGCTGTGAATGAACAGAATTCACAGCTGTTGAAATAAAAAGAGGGTTTTTGGGACTAATTGTGTGCTTTTTACTGTCTCAGGAAGCCTAGGTCAGAACAGGAGCTCCTGGAAATTGTACCAGAATTGTAGGCTAAACTTGAGAAGAAAACTCCCTAAAGAAGGCAATGTCTACCTATTATGAATCCATATAGATCTTTGAAACCCTTGGGCTGTTCACGAAACTCAAGTTTATTTTTCATCCAGATGCAAGTTGATGTTCCTCAACCAACGGTGGTGGTAGAGAAGACAGGGCATACCTGGCGTAATTAACATGCAACATGGCTTGCTTGCTTGCTTATTTTCAGGATGCTGTTCCTGAAAGAGGTCCCACTCCGGTGTAATGTTTTGTGAGTTGAGTTTAATACAACTCCTCCTTTTGAGCAGACTGGTAGACCTTTGGTCGCCACGATGTAAAAAAGGTGAGACTTAAGTGCAGAGAAGAGCAAAGATGATGATGAGGGGACTGGAGGCTAAAACATATGAAGAACGGTTGCAGGAACTGGGTATGTCTAGTTTAATGAAAAGAAGGACCAGGGGAGATACGATAGCAGCAGGGTGGATTTGATTTAAATCGAGTTGATTTAAATCACAATTTAAATCATGATTTAAATCACTGGTAAAAAGGCTTGATTTAAATCAACTCGATTTAAATCATAATTTTTAAAGAGCAACTGTCATCTCTGCTACTCCTTTGACCCGCTGTTGACTCACCGATAGTCCCAGGGTTGCAGAATATACAGTCTCCTGCTATATAACTAAGCTCCATTTCATGCTGAATAAACTAAATTATGTATGTATCTTAAATAGAAAACTATCTTACGATACATTTTTACCCCAAAAGTTTTTTATTAAAATAAATTCGATAAAAATAAAAAAAAAATCAAATTTAAATCAAAAAAATCCGATTTAAATCAAAAAAATCTGATTTTTTTGATTTTTTTTAAAAAAATCATTGATTTTTATCCACCCTGGTTTCCAGTGTCTTTCTCCCCCACTTGGAACTGAACCCAGTGTCAGAGTTCCAAGTAATATCCCCAACGAAATAAACCTCCGAGGCTTGAGTTTTCTCAAAGTTACATTTTATTAGAGATTGTCATATTGGCACATCACACGGTCCAATCAAAGCACCGTCCCAACTGGAGATGCCTCCCAGTCGCAGCCCTCCAGGTGCAGGGCAAGATGTCCTTGACTTTCCGAGAAAGGAATGTTATTATGAGTATATATCACCCTTGCTCCATACAATCCCCGCCTCCCAGTTTCCCACAGTAGTATAATGTGGCAGGACTGAAGGCCTAATGTTGTGATGGCGAACCTATTTATTTATTTATTTATTTGATTTGATTTCTATACCGCCCTACTCCCGAAAGACTCAGGGCGGTGCACAGCCAAACAATAAAACACATACATACAAAATTTAAAAGTAGAATAAAATCAAATTAAATAATTTTGGCCCCGACAGATTTAAAACCCCAAACTTTTAAAACCAATTTAAAATTGAGTGTATAAAATACTAAAAGATATTTAAAAATTAAAAATCTTTTATAAAAGAGGGAGAAAATTAGGCCAGGCCCGCCTGGTGAAATAGTAAGGTCTTTAAAGCGCGGCGGAAGGTGCGCAGATCCGGGATCCTCTGTATCTCGCAGGGCCTTCTCTCTGGGCCCGCAAGCTGTCGCCCCAGCTCAGCTCTGTTGCGTGCCTCCCGCCGGCAAGCTGGTCTTTGGGTCAGTGCCGCACAGTGTCTTTGGGGTGTGTGCAAGGGGCTGCGCGTGCATGTACATATGCACAGGGCACACACAGATCTTGAAGGGGAGAAGCCGAGTCCCTAGCATAGGCGTGGGAAGTGATCTCTTTCCTCCCCCCACCCTCTGCAGCCGTACTCTTAGGCTCATAAAAGTAATTTAATTTGTTTTCAATAAAACCGCTTGATCATCGCTCACCGGGGCAAGGTTAAGTCAATTATTCCGAGCTGCTTGGAGTTCAGCGATTGATTTCTTTCAAACCCTGCATCTCTGCGTTCTGGAAAGCTCTTGATACAGCCAAGCTGTTTCTGTTTGGGCGACGTAGGGGTGATTGTTTCAGTTACTCACATCTTAATCCTTCTTTTGCACTTGGAAGGAGATGAAAGCGCACACCGGTGTGTTATTACAAGGTACCGTTCCCAGTGGGGCAGCGTGGAAAAGACTTAAGCCTCCTTGCTAGGCTCCAATCTGAAAGGAATGTGGGTCACGCCATTCACACGTGGCCAGAATCTGTAAACCTGGTTTGGTAACGACAGGAACGAGGTATAGCTAGTTCTTGACTACCCTGTTTCCCCCAAAATAAGACCCAACCAGAAAATAAGCCCTAGCATGATTTTTCAGGATGCTCGTAATATAAGCTCTACCTCCAAAATAAGCCTCAGTTAAAGATTGTCAGCCAGATGGATGCATTTAGTACCGTATTTCCCCCCAAAATAAGACCTAACCAGAAAATAAGCCCTAATGCGTCTTTTGAAGCAAAAATTAATATAAGACCGGGTTTTATTTTTGGGGAAACACGGTATCATAATTGTGACCGTAATTGAGCCCAATATTTATGTTGCTAAGCGAGGCAGTTTGTTAGGTGAATTTGACCCCCATTGTATGACTTTTCTGGCCACCGTTGTTAAGTGAATCATGGCACTTGTTAAGCTAGCGAGACGGTTGTTAAGTGAATCTGGCTTCCCCATTGAATTTGCTTGTCAAAAATCACACGATCCTGGGACACGGTAACCGTCACAAATGCGAATCACTTGCCAAGCGTTTGAATTTTGATCACGGGGATGCGGCAACGGTCGTAAGTGTGAAAAACGGTCATAAGTCAGTTTTTTTCAGCCACATCGTAACTTTGAACGGTCACTAAATGAAGTGTCATAAGTCGAGGACTACTTGGGTTTAAAGGTAAAGCTGCCTTAATCCAGGCTGGACTCCAGGAGCTCAGAAAAATAACTTGATCCAACACCTTTACCTGACTAACAGTGCCAAAAATTAAACCTGGATTTGGACATTTGGGGCAGACTTGGTGGTTCACCTCTGAAGTATAATTTTTCGGGCACCAAGGTCTGACTTGAAATAGTAAAGAGAATTATTCTAGAATTATTTCTTTGATGATTCAACACACCATTTATACACAGTACCAAACATACCTTAAAGCTTGCACGCTTGATACCCTGTTTCCCCTAAAATAAGACATCCCCTGATAATAAGCCCAATCGGGCTTTTGAGCACATGCGCTAAAATAAGCCCCCCCCCAAAAAAATAAGCCCTCCCCTAAAATATTTAAGCACATGCGCAGCTGGTCCCCACCATTTCCTCTGGTTAGGGTTAGGGAGACAGAGCTGGAAATCAGGTAAGACGGCAAGAGGAGCCCCATCCAGTGGTAGGTTCCTCCCGGTTCCGCCGAGCCGGTAGCGGTGACAATATGACGTCACCGAACCAGTTCTGCCCCCCTAACCCCCCCACTGTGTTATTCTTACCTTTTATTTGGCCCCACCCCCAATCTGTTGCTGCTCCTGAGTCCCAGCTGATGGGCTAGAAGAAAAAACTGTTTAAACTCTTGCCGCGGGGCTTCAAAGGGCCGCCCTGCAGCTGATCAGTGGTAAAAGGCAGTTTGGTGGTAGACCTGTGCCTCCAAAAACAAATGAGTAGACCGGTGCCTGCAAAAATAAATGGGTAGAACAGTGCATGCAAAAATAAATGGGTAGACCAGTACAGCTCTGCAAGCAGTTAAAAGCCTGGTAGACCAGTACCGCTGCTAAATCCTAAAGAATTGTCACATGACCATCAAGCCACGCCCACAAAATAAGCCACTCCCACAGAGCCGGTAATAAAAAAAATTAGAACCCACCCCTGACCCCATCTTGTTCCACGCGCCCCAAAATAATAAGATCTCCCTGAAAATAAGGCCAAGCGCTTATTTCAAGGTTCAAAAAAATATAAGACAGGGTTTTATTTTCGGGAAGACACGGTAGTTTCTTCAGTTATCACAATTTTTTTTTTTTTTAAATTTGATTTATATACCGCCCTTCTCCGGAGACTCAGGGCGGCTTACAATGCGTTAAGCAATAGCCTTCATCCTTTTGTATATTTACACAAAGTCAGCTTATTGCCCCCACAACTGGGTCCTCAATTTACCTACCTTAGAAAGGATGGAAGGCTGAGTCAACCTTGAGCCTTGGCGAGATTCGAACCTGCAGTAATTGCAGGCAGCTGGTCTTAATAACAATTAAACGCTGCAGATCTTTGGTTACCAGCCCACCGTACAGGCAGTCTTCAACTTACGACCACAACTGAGCCCCAGACTTCTGTTGCTAAGGGAGACGTTTCTCAGGTGAGTTTTCCCTGTTTTGCGACTTTTCTGGACACCGTCGTTAAGCGGACCGCTGCAGTTGTTAACTTAGCGGCACAGTTGTTAAGTGAACCTGGCTTCCCCCTTGACTTTTGCTTGTCAGACGGTCGCAACGGGGGAGTTACGTGCCACCCCCCACCCCAGGGACATTGCAACGGTCGTAAATGCGAATCAGTTGCCAAGCATCCGATGGATGTCAATCACGTGTCCGTGGGGGATGCTGCAATGGCCACAAGTGTGAAAAAACGATCCTAGGTCACTTTTTTCAGTGGCGTTACACCTTTGAACGGTCACTAAATGAACCTTTGTAGAGGACTACCTGGAGTGTGTAATAGGATCACAAACCAGGATGAACTTTCAATTTCCGAGTCTCTAATCAGCTGTCCGTGTTTCATTTGCAGCAGGCAGCGGGAAGGATGACCTTTGACTGACCATCTCTGCAACGGAAGCTCTGCTTTTCCCCCATCTGTAACCCATGTGCATTCTTTTCTTTAAGTTTGACCCACGTCCTGTCTCCAAAAATGCCTACAGGTAATGTGCAAATTCCGCTTCACCGTCTCGTTGTCGATATGCTGGTTGTCGATCTTCCTAGAGTTCGGAAATTCCATTGTGGCTGTTGTGTCCCAGGCTCAAGTAGGTATTATCAGACGCAATCAGTTCTAAACAAACAGACTTTATTAGAACAGCTGAGAATTAACTCATTCTCAGCGTAGTCCAAACTAATTCAAAACAAATCCTTCACAATAGTGTGTGGTAAATACCAAACGAGTTAGAGTTATACAGGTTGTCCTCGATTTACGACCACAATTGAGCCCAACATTTCTGTTCTTAAGTGAGACATTTGCTTTGTGAGTTCTGCCCCATTTTACGACCTCTCTTGCCACCGTTGTTAAGTGAATCACTGTAGTTGATAAGTTAGTAACTCGGTTGTTGAGTGAATCTGGCTTCCCCCCCACCCCCAGTTGATTTTGTTGGCCAGAAAGTCACAAAGGGAGATCCCATGATTTTGGGAAACAGCAACGGTCATAAGTATGAACCAGTTGCCAAGCATCTGAATTTTGATCATGTAGTCATATAAGGAGGCTACAAAGGTCATAAGTGTGAAAAGCAGTGTTACGTCCCTTTTTTAAGTGCCGTTGTAACTCTTTTTTTTTTTTTTTAGGTTTTATTTGTTTTATTTATATAACATTTGATTTTCATCAAACAGGGTGCGGTCTGGGTACAGTTCTTTTTCAACAATCATAATACACATATTTGTTGTGGGATTCATCGCCATAATATTGTTAATGTAATAATAGGATAATATAATAGCAACAGTGCTGTTATAACTTCGAACGGCCACTAAATGTTGTCAGTCGAGGGCTACCTGTAGAAACATTTTGCATTTTTCAAAACACAAATTAATGGGTCTTTAAAGGGAATCTGGGGACGTGGGGGCTCAGTGGGTAAGACGCTGAGCTTGTTGATCGAAAGGTTGGCAGTTCAGTGGTTCGAGTCCCTAGCACCTCATAATGGAGTGAGCTCCCGTTACTTGTCCCAGCTTCTGCCAACCTAGCAGTTCGAAAGCACATTAAAAAATGCAAGTAGAAAAATAGGGACCACCTTTGGTGGGAAGGGAACAACGTTCCGTGCACCTTTGGCATTGAGTCATGCCGACCACATGGCCATGGAGACGTCTTCGGACAGCACTGGCTCTTCGGCTTTGAAATGGAGATGAGCACCGCCCCCTAGAGTCAGGAACGACTAGCACGTATATGCGAGGGGAACCTTTACCTTTAAAGGGAATCCATTTTTTTTTAACCCAGTGCCAAGGCATCAGAATTAGAATTGACTGTGAACCGTGGATGAAGGAACTGTGTGCAAACTACGAAGGGGGAAAAAATGCAAATATAGATACAAAGCTTAAATCTCTTTTATTTTTATTTTTTTGTTCCATAAAACCAGCCTTGTAACCGAGAACATACTGGTCCGTCATTCCTTTATCTATTCAGCCGGTGCAGAAATCCAAGCGCAGACTTTCAAGATCAACCCTCCTTTGAAAGCTCCGTGTTCCATTTACTGTATCTGCAGCAAAATATGTAAAGCCCTCCATGGCTTAAAGACCCAGTGCCTTCGGTTTTACACACTTGCCCGAACGTAAAGATCTAGCAGGAATAATGTTGTCAGGGGAGTTTGCCAGGATTAAGGATGTAGCAACTGGAGGGGGAAAGAGAGAGAGAGAGAGTGCAGATATTCTTGCACCCCAATTACAGCTACAGGTAATCCACGACTTACAACAGTTTGCTTAGTGACTGATCAAAGTTACAACGGCACTGAAAAAGTGACCACTTAAGTGGCTTAAGTGACTCACACTTAAGGATGAGGTCGGGAAAAGAAGGAGCCAGATTGTTGGAGGCAGGATGCTGACTCTGTAAAACTGCTTAGAGAGGGATGTGAAGCACTGTGAAGAGATAGATAGAAGATAGATAGATGATAGGTAAGTAGGTAGGTAGCTAGGTAGGTAGATAGATATGTGATAGTTATGTGATAGATAAAAGACAGACAGACAGACAGACAGACAGATAGATAGATGATAGAAGATAGAAAGATAGCTAGCTAGCTAGCTAGATGATAGATAGCTAGAAGATAGCTAGAAATAGATAGATGATAGCTAGATGATAGATGGATGGATGGATGGATGGATAGATAGATAGATAGATAGATAGATAGATAGATAGATAGATAGCTAGATGATAGAATCTGTAGAAAACAGGCAAAACCTGGACTACACCATTGTGGCCTTTATCCTGACTTTTTTTTTTTAACTATAACCTCCAAGCACCTCTGCTGATTTTATTAACCATACTGAGCGATGTCAAATGTACCAAAATGCCATTTGTTTTATTGTGCAGTTTTCAAAAAACATTTGGATAGGACAGGTTGGAAAATTAAATTTGGTCATAAATTCATTTCTATCACCATAAAAAGTGGTAAGTAGTGTCAAAGGGTTGGAGGAGATGGATTTTTTTTTTTTCTGAATAAATAACGCTGCTCCCTTTCTCCCATCTTGTTTGATCTCATTATACAAGAGCAGAGGCGGCATATTAAGCGAGACAAGAACATTCAACGCCTTAATATGAAAACAGAACAAAATGTAAATACATTGTTGGCACATGACATGTCCATTCTTCTTCAAAACCCTCGCAGAGATATAACTCAGTTGCGGTTTGCATCAAATACATTTTAGGCAGTAGCAGGGTTAGCAATTCATTTTCACATTCTGCTACATTAATCAACATCAATAGAGACTCATATGGAACGGCTAAACTTTATATCCATCTAATTGGATTTAGATAGTTAGAATAGAATAGAGCTGGAAGGGACCTTGGAGGTCTTCTAGTCCAGCCCCCTGCTCAAGCAGGAGAACCTATACCCGTGTGCCACAGGTGGCATGTGGAGCCATATCTGTGGGCACGCGAGCGTTGCCCTAGCTCAGCTCCAGTGCACATGTGTGCACCAGCCATCTGATTTTGGGCTTTCTGGGCCTACCGGAAGTCAGAAAATGGGCCATTTCCGGTCTCTGGAGGGCCTTGGGGGGGGGAGGCTGTTTTCGCTCTCTCCAGGCTCCAAGAAAGTCTCTGGAACCTGGGGATCCTTCCTTCCTTCCTTCCTTCCTTCCTTCCTTCCTTCCTTCCTTCCTTCCTTCCTTCCTTCCTTCCTGCACAGTGGTTAAAATACAACATTGTAGGCTGATTCTGCCCACTGCTAGGAGTTCGATCCTGACCGGCTCAAGGTTGACTCAGCCTTCCGTCCTTCCAAAGTCAGTAAAATGAGGACCCAGATTCTTGGGGGCAGTAGACTGACTCTGTAAATCACTTGGAGACAGCTGGAAATCACTGTGAAGCGATATATAAGTCCAAGTGCTATTGCTATTGCTCTTCTTTTCCTTCCTTCATTCCTTCCTCCCTCCCTCTCTCGCTCCCTCCCTCTTTCCCTTTCTTCACAGTGGTTAAAATGCAGTATTGCAGACTGACTCTGCCCACTGCCAGCAGTTTGATCCTGACCGGCTCAAGGTTGACTCAGCCTTCCATCCTTCCGAGGTGGGTAAAATGAGGACCTAGATTGTTGGGGGCCAGAGGCTGACTCTGTAAACTGCTTAGAGAGGGCTGTAAAAGCACTGTGAAGCGATATATAAGTCTAAGCGCTGAGTGCTAAAACTCACTTAACAGCTTTCTTCCTTAGCAATGGAAATTTTCAGCTCAGTTTTTGGTCGTAAGTCGAGGACTGCCTGTACCGGCTCATACCGGCTCGTTGGTGGAGCTACTGAGTTGTAATTAGGCCACATCCGGTGCCTTCCGTGTTCCCTCCTCTGTAACAGTCTCTATTTGTCATGCTGTAAATAAATGCCTCTCATTTCAACGTTGCTCCTGTTTGCAGAGACTGTCATAAATCCAATTTTGGTAATACAAATTGCTGCTGTTTGTAAATATAGGTTTTATGTTTCAGAGCTATAATCTCATAATCTTTTTTTTTTTTTTTATGGAACTGAATTATATCACAGGAAATTGCCTCGGCAGTACGGATTCTTGAGTTTCCATCTACACACACACACACAGAGAGAGAGAGAGAGAGAGAGAGAGAGAGTCAGAAGTTGCATAAATCTTTGTACAGCTTGTTTTGAAGTTCTTATAAATTACTTAGAGAATCTGATTTTTGCTGTGGCTGATTTTGGATGAGGCTGCCTTAAAGATGGGTGCTTTCCCCAGTGTGTATCTGAATCAGCAGCCACCCCTTAAAAGTGGTTTATCAACAGGCACAAATCAGGGGTGAAATCCAGCAGGTTCTGGCAGGTTCTGGAGAACCGGTAACGGAAATTTTGAGCAGTTCGGAGAACCAGTAGCAGAAATTTTGAGTAGTTTGGAGAACCGGCAAATGCCACCTCTGGCTGGCCCCAGAGTGGGATGGGAATTGGGGATTTTGCAATATCCTTCCCCCAGGAATGGGGAGGGAATGGTGATCTTGCAGTATCCTTCCCACAGGAGTGAGGTGGAAATGGGGATTTTGCAGTATCCTTCCCCCAGGAGTGGGGTGGAAATGGGGATTTTGCAGTATCCTTCCCCTGGAGTGGGGAGTGAATGGGGATTTTGCAGTATCCTTCCATTAGAGTGGGGAGGGAATGGGGATTTTGCAATATCCTTCCCCTGGAGTAGGGAGGGAATGGGGATTTTGCAGTATCCTTCCCCCAGGAGTAGGGTGGGAATGGAGATTTTGCAGTATCTTGCCACGCCACGCCCACCAAGCCACTGGCACAAATGTTGGTTTGTCCTTATCTGGGATAATCCGGGTTTGTTTTTTTGTGCCCTGCTTAAACCTTAAGCCTGGATTTTCAAACCAAGGTTAGCTTCGTAGCGTTCGCTCCCATTTTTTTGTTCTTCTTTGTGAGTCTTTGCGTTGGATGGAATAGATTTGAAGCACGTAGGTCCTGCCAAAGCCGCCGTGTTCTTCAGTGGATACGTTTCGACAGAGGTACAAATAAAAATAAACCCGATATGATTAAAGGTGCCCCCTGGGAGCATCCTTGAAGGATGCCGTGTGTGTGTTTACTATGCAGAGCCGGAAAGGAATCAGAACTTGTGCAGGGCCTGCCTGCTTCCAGGAGAGCCGGCTGGTTTGTCGACAGCAGTGGTGCGATGGCATTAATTCACTCCGCTTGGCTGTGTGGGTGTCACCCAAATTTTCGCAGGAGATTTTTTTTTTTTTCCCCATCCCCGAGACTTCCCGGCAAAGCTGTAATTTCACGATAGAACGCATAGCCGAGGTCACAGATTCAACCCCTCGGATCTTCAAATGAGACGAAGAGAAATCTGTTTAATTGGCTTCTTTCTCCACCCCCCCCCCCACCCCCTGGCAGCATGGCTGGGATTAGAATACAGTAGATGAAGAATGGAATAGGAATAGGAATAGGAATAGGAATAGGAATAGAATAGAATAGAATAGAATAGAATAGAATAGAATAGAATAGAATAGAATAGAATAGAATAGAATAGAATAGAGGGATAGGATAGGATAGGATAGGATAGGATAGGATAGGATCGGGAAATAGAATAGAATAAAGATATAGAATAGAATAGAATAAAAGAATAGGATAGGATAGGATAGGATAGGATAGGATAGGATAGGATAGGATAGGATAGGACAGAGAAATAGAATAGAATAAAGATATAGAATAGAATAGAAGAATAGAATAGAATAGAATAGAATAGAATAGAATAGAATACAATAGAATACAATAGAATACAATAGAATAGAATAGAATAATAGGATAGGATAGGATAGGATAGGATAGGATAGGATAGGATAGGATAGGATAGAATAGGACAGAGAAATAGAATAGAATAAAGATATAGAATAGAATAGAAGAATAGAATAGAATAGAATAGAATAGAATAGAATAGAATAATAGGATAGGATAGGATAGGATAGGAAAATAGAATAGGATAAAGATATAGAATAGAATAGAATAAAAGATTAGATTAGAATAGAATAGAATAGAATAGAATAGAATAGAATAGAATAGAGAAATAGAATAGAATAAAGATATAGAATATAATAGAAGATTAGAATAGAATAGAATAAAGTAGAATAAAAAAATAGAATAGAATAGAATAGAATAGAATAGAATAGAATAGAATAGAATAGAATAGAATAGAATAGAATAGATTCAAATTAACAGAGTTGGAAGGGACCTTGTAGGTCATCCAGAATAACAATAAAATAGAATTCTGTAACCATGTTATAACCATGTTGCTTGTATCTTTCAATTTATATTGTTTTTATCAGTTTCCTGGTACGATTTGATAGTTTATTAGTAACCTTGACTATCACTAAACGTTCTATCTTTTTATTCTTGATGAACGTATTTTATTCTCCTTATGTGCACTGAGAGCATATACACCGAAGACAAATTCCTCGTGTGCCCAATCACACTTGGCCAATAAGGAAGGAAGGAAGGAAGGAAGGAAGGAGAAAGGATAGAGTAGTGTAGAATAGAATAAAATGGAATAGGAATAGGAATAGGAATAGGATTAGGAATAGGAATAGGAATGGAATGGAATAGCTTTCCTCCCCAGGAGCAAATGTCTTTTAATTTCTTGGCTGCAGTCCTCATCTGCGGTGATCTTGGAACCCAGGAAAATAAAATCTGTCACTACCTCCATTGCAATAAAATTATTATGAAGCAATTATTATGAAGTAATAAAACAAACGTCATTTTTCAGCGCAATCACCAATTTTCTGTTCTTTACCTACAGGCTGATCCTAGCAGCTAACAGAGATGAATATTACAACAGGCCATCCAAATCCGCTGATTTTTGGGACAATAGCAGCGAGATTCTCAGTGGTACGTATAGTGCTCTCTGGGTATGTGTTTAAGTCAAGCCATCCTCGACATACGGCCGATCACTTAATGACCATTCGGATTTATAACAGCCTCGAAAAAAAAGTTATTTATAAGCTGTCCTCAAAGTTACGACTGCTGCACCTGTCTCAGCAGTCACATGAATGCATTTTGGGTCCGTGGCAACTGGGCGGTTGCAGCATGTCCTGGTCCTGGTCCTGGTATTGCGGTTTGGGATATATTTTTTGATGTTTTCCAGGGGGAAAAAAGGTTTTAAAAAATGCCCTTTTGATCAATTAGATTCGGACTTATGGCCACCTGATTCACTTAACAACCATGGTGACTTGCTTAATTCACCATCTCCTGGCGATCAGCCTAAAGTCACCTAGCTGGCTTTCATGGCTAAGGCAGGACTAGAACTCACAGTCTCCGGGTGATGGGCCCAAAGTCACCCAATCAGCTTTCATGTCTAAGGCAGGACCAGAACTCCCGGTCTCCTGGTGATTGGCCCAAAGTCACCCAGCCAGCTTTTATGCCAAAGGCAGCACTAGAACTCACTGTCTCCTGGTGACTGCCCAAAGTCACCCAGTTAGCTTTCACACCTAAGGTGGGACTAGAACTCACAGTCTCCTGGTGATTGGCCCTGAGTCACCCAGTTGGCTTTCACACCTAAGGCGAGAATAGAACTGTGTCTCCTGGTGACTGGCCCAAAGTCATCCAGCCGGCTTTCATGCCTAAGGCAGGACTAGAACTCACAGTCTCCGGGTGATGGGCCCAAAGTCACCCAATCAGCTTTTATGCCTAAGGCAGGACTAGAACTCCCGGTCTCCTGGTGACTGGCCAAATTCACCCAGTTAGCTTTCACACCTAAGGTGAGACTAGAACTCACAGTCTCCTGGTTATTGGCCCTGAGTCACCCAATTGGCTTTCGCACCTAAGGCGAGAATAGAACTGTGTCTCCTGGTGACTGGCCCAAAGTCATCCAGTCGGCTTTCATGCCTAAGGCAGGACTAGAACTCACAGTCTCCTGGTGATCAGAGCAAAGTCACCCAGCCTGTTTTCATGCCTAAGGCAGGACTAGACCTCACACTCTCTGGGTGATGGGCCCAAAGTCACCCAATCAGCTTTTATGCCTAAGGCAGGATTAGAACTCCCGGTCTCCTGGTGATTGGCCCAAAGTCACCCAGTTGGCTTTCACACCAAAGGTGGGACTAGAACTCACAGTCTCCTGGTGATTGGCCGAAAGTCACCCAGTTGGCTTTCGCATCAAAGGTGGGACTAGAACTCACAGTCTCCTGGTGATCAGGACTAGAACTCACAGTCTCCGGGTGATGGGCCCAAAGTCACCCAATCATCTTTTATGCCTAAGGGAGGACTAGAATTCCTGGTCTCCTGATGATTGGCCCAAAGTCATCCAGCCGGCTTTCATGGCTGATGCAGGACTAGAACTCCCAGTCTCCTGCTTTCTAGCCTAGACCAAACTGGCTTCCCCTGAAACATTATTCCTTAGTGTGGGTTATATTTACACCTTACAGAGCAGCACTTTAGTGTGGTCCTTGAAATCCCATGATTTTAAAGACAAGAGAGGTGGATTTTGCTCGGTGCTAATCCAATTTGTTTTTTAAGCACGCAGCTTTAGCAGATCCAGCGCTGCCCATTTTAGAAGCATTTCTGTCTATTAGTTACAGTAACAGAGTTGGAAGGGACCTTGGAGGTCATCTAGTCCCAACCCCCTGCTCACGCAGGAGACCTATACTGGAGATTCGAACCACCGACCTTTCTGATCGACAAGCTCAGCGTCTTAGCCACCGAGCCACCTCATAGATCTCTCTCCCCCTCTCTCTCCCTCCCTAAAAATCCCAAGTATTTATTGCATTCCTCACTTGATAACTATTTCCAGTCTCTGTCCCTTCTTTCTTTTCTCCTTCCTTCCTTCCTTCCTTTCTTCCTTCTCTCCTTCCTTCCTTCCTTCTCTCTCCTTCCTTCCTTTTCCTTCCTTCCTTCCTTCCTTCTTTCTCCTTCCTTCCTCCTTTTTCCTTCCTTCCTTCCTTTTCCTTCCTTCCTTCTTTCTCCTTCCTTCCTCCTTTCTCCTTCCTTGCTTCCTTCCTTGCTTCCTTCCTTCTCTCTCCTTCCTTCCTTCCTTCCTTCCTTCCTTCCTTCCTTCCTTCCTTCCTTCCTTCCTTCTTTCCTTCTCTCTCCTTCCTTCGTTCCTTGCTTGCTTGCTTGCTTGCTTCCTCTCTTTCTCTCTCTCCTGCCTAGCCATCCTAAAGTACATGTTTCAATATGCACATAAATAAAAATGGGATTTCAACAGTCAAACCATGGGGACTTTTTTGTTGTTGTTGAAAAAAAAAAATATCTGCGAAGATTCTTCTCTTCTGCTTAACTTTGTTGTCCCTGGCAGAGGATAAATTATTCTCTCACTCTTTCTGTCTGCCCCAAAGTTCTTCTTCTTCTTTTCTTTTTTTTAACTTTCTGAAAGTCTGGTTTTCATTCTGAATTCTTGACGAGTATGGGCTATACGTGACGACCCTTCCTCTCTACCTCTTTTATACAGAGTGATGCTTAGCGAGGGGGGGGGGATGGGGTGCTTGCTGAAATCTGAATTTTAAAAGCATTCTGGTCTGTTTTGATGTATTTATCCTCACTCTAAGCTCTGTGTGTCTGTGTGTGTGTGTGTGTGTGTGTGTGTGTGTGTGTGTGTGTGCCCGCCTGCCGTTGGTTTTATAAGACATAGGCCTTGAGCTGTCAATCTTCTCAAGAAGGTAGGTAGTTTATCTTCTGCTCCTTGTGTCGTGGCGGCTAAATGCTTTCTCCTTTCCTCTCCCGTGAAACCAGGCCAGGGGTGAAATCCAGCAGGTTCTGAACTGGTAGCGGAAATTTCGAGCAGTTCAGAGAACCAGTAGCAGAAATTTTGAGTAGTTCAGAGAATTGGCAAATGCCATCTCTGGCTGGCCCCAGAGTGGGGTGGGAATGGGGATTTTGCTGTATCCTTCCCTTAGGAGTGGGGTGGGAATGGAGATTTTGCAGTATCCTTCCCTTAGGAGTGGGGTGGGAATGGAGATTTGGCACTATCCTTCCCTGGAGTGGGGTGGGAATGGAGATTTGGCAATATCCTTCCCCTAGGAGTGGGGTGGGAATGGATTTGGCAATATCCTTCCCCTGGAGTGGGTTGGGAATGGGGATTTTGCAGTATCCTTCCCCTGCCACACCTACCAAGTGTTGGTAAAATGAGGACCCAGATTGTTGGGGGCAAGAGGCTGACTCTGTAAACTGCTTAGAGACGGCTGTAAGGCACCATGAAGCAGTATATAAGTCTAAGTGCTATTGCTATTGTCCGTCCTTCCTTCCTTCCTTCCTTCCTTCCTTCCTTCCTTCCTTCCTTCCTTCCTTCCTTCTGGTTGACTCAGCCTTCTATCCTTCCAAGGTCAGTAAAATGAGGACCCAGTTTGTTGGGGGCAATAGGCTGACTCTGTAAACCGCTTTGAGAGGACTGTAAGGCACTGTGAAGCGGTATATAAGTCTGCTATTGCTATTCCTTCCATCCTTCCTTCCTTCCTTCCATGCATCCATCCATCCATAGTGCACATCAGTTAGAATGCAGTACTGCAGGCTGACTCTGCCCACTGTTAGCAGTTCGATCCTGACTGGCTCAAGGTTGACTGAGCCTTCCATCCTTCCGAGATGGGTAAAATGAGGACTCAGATTGTTGGGGGCAATAGGTCTGTAGGGGACTGTAAGGCACTGTGAAGCAGTATATAAGTCTAAGGGCTATTGCTATTGCTAAAACAGGGCAATAGAAATTGTGAGCTCAGTTGTGGTTATAAGTCAAGGACTTCCTATACACCTTTCCTGCCTCACACCTGTCTAAGAAACGACTTCCACTTTTAGAATGCCGTTTGTCGGTAACCAACCACAGGTTGCTTAATGGTGTCCACCCAGGTAATTCCTTGGTCTTTTGTTGTTAATGGCAGGCTTGGATATGGAAGAAGGGAAAGAAGGTGGATCCTGGCTTGGAATCAGCAAGAAAGGCAAGATGGCCGCCTTGACCAATTACATGCAGCCTCAGATCAACAAGCAGGCAAAAGGAAGAGGCAAGTATGTAGTAGGAAATGAGAGGTGGATGGGATGTCACCCGCTTAACTAAAAAAAAAAATGTTTATCCGTAACTGTAATAGAGCCTGTAGTATATAATTATAAACTGTAATGACCATCTATAGTTAAAAAGGGCGTTCTTGGTGGTTAGACTGCGGTATTGCAGGCTGACTCACTGCCCACCGCCAGGAGTTCGATTCCTTCAATCCTGACCGGCTGAAAGTTGACTCAGCCTTCCATCCTTCCGAAGTCAGTAAAATGAGGACCCAAATAAGTGATTGGCAGTGATTAATTTAGCCCAGAATGTTTAGATTTTCTTTGGGGCGAAATCTGCCCTCTCTTTGTGAATTGTTGGCTGTCCAATAAAGGTATTTTGCAAACAAGAAGTTGAATAACCTAAAAGCAGGCAAATGTTAATACTTTCATTGAAACAGGAACTGCGACATTCTGCTAAAATAAACACAATCTGTGGCTTAAAAACTAATAGCTTTTTTTTTCTCACCAAGCTCCCTGGTCACCAAATTATATTGTGCAGCCTGCAAATATTTATCGCGTTACTGAGATATCATATTTATTAAACAAATGGCCCTCTAATTGATAGGCTGCGCTTTATTGCTCTGCTGGTCAGTAAGAGCGATAAAAGCCCATGAAATAGAGGAGACAATGGAGAGACCAGGGGAAAAGACAGAACTAAATAAAGAAAAACAAGAAGATAAGAAGAAGACGGTAATAAAAACCTATGAAGCAATTCAGGGAAAACTACATGTTAAAAGACCCAAAAAATGATACTAGATAAACAGAAAAGATATCTTTGAAAAGAAAATGGAGAGTTGGGCAGATCCTCTGGAGGTTTGGCAACAAAAGATAGTAGAGATGGAAGAAATACTTAAAATTAAAAAAGGAAAGATGTAGATAGAGACGACGACCCAGGGATGAATGTGGGAGGCAAGTCAAAAAACGAATAAGAATTGAAATATTAAAACAGATGGCAAGAGATGACGGATAGAGGAAATGTTTTGTAACAGAAAGTTGGCTTTACTAGGAGCTAGAATAGAGGCAGGCACAAGAAATAGGGGGAATATTATTATGCAAATTTCTCATATAATATATTAAAAGTAATAGCTATAAAGATTAGATGTTGAAAGATGGTGTACATTCTAATGATATTGTTATTAGAATGGGGGACTAAAATGTTGAACAATTAAATAATGAAGGCTTATATTTTAAAACAAATATGTATAAGAATATTATTACAATTACATAAGTATGATTTAAATAATATTAATACTATCATTACTAAGGTAAAGGTAAAGGTTCCCCTCGCACATACATGCTAGTCGTTCCCGACTCTAGGAGGCAGTGCTCATCTCCATTTCTAAGCCGAAGAGCTGAACTACCTGATGTTGGCAAACGGGCCGTTTCTGGCCTCCCCAAGCTCCTAGAAAGGCCCTGGAGCCTGGGGAAGAGCAAAAAACGGCCTACCATGCCATCACATGACAATACCATTACATTCTGGCAGCTCATTCAATTCTGAAATACTACTAAGCTTACCTGATGTGGCAAAATATCTGGTCTCACTTCTGGGAAGAGATGCTTCCTTAGTTATAAACCACGTGTTATATTCCTCTCTTTGCAGGCGCCCTGGTGACCAATTTCTTGACGTCAGAAATGGACAGTTACTCTTACTTGAAGAAAGTGGCCTCGGAAGGACACCTTTACAATGGCTTTAATTTGATAGCAGCCGACTTAAGGTAAATCTGTAGTAAGCCTTCCCCATTTAAGGAGCGGAATTCAGAAACCGACTCCGCAGATGTTACGTGTTTGTTGCTTGATAGCAGAGGCTCCGTGCTACCTGGTATGTTTCTCCCTCCACCCTCCGCCATAAGCACGGCATTTGAATTCAGAAATGGAGAATCACAACTTTGCCTGGGATTTTGGCTTTGGTTTTGATGGCCCGAGTTTTTTCTGAATCAAGGCCAGGGGGTGGGATTCAGCCGGTTCAGATCGGTTCAGGCGAACCGGATGGTAATTCTACATCTGGTTCGCCCAACCGGAAGTTGCAAGGACTGGCTGGCCCCACCCACTCCGCCCCGCCCCTCTCAGAAGTCTCCATGCAGCCCGTTTTGGATGCGAGGTAAGTGCAAGGCCCGCGCGGAGGCTCTGGGAGGGCGAACAACGGGCCTAACGGAAGTATCGGAAGTCCAGAAATGGGCCCGTTTCTGGCCTCTGGAGCCCGGGGGAGGCTGTTTTCGCCCTCCCAGAGGCTCGGCGAAAGCCTCTGGAGCCTGGGAAGGGCAAAAACACTCCCCCACCCCCACTGTGGTGCAGGAGGCCGAGTAGGCCACACCCCCATGGCCAGGGGTCAGCAACCTGCGCCTCTGGAGCCGCATGTGGCTCTTTCACCTCTCTGATGTGGCTCCCTGTCACTCAAAATATGTGTCACAACCACCAATGTGCCACACCCACCGGCACGCGATTTATTGAGCTTTTCAACCCCCAGTAGGCCAACCATGGATAAATCCAAGAGAAGAAAAAAAGTTTCAGAAGAAAACAGAACGTTTAATTCAACTACATAGGCTAGTTTTGTGGCTGCTCGAAAAATAGTCAGGCACGGAAAGAGTTTTGTGGCTCCCGGTGTTTTCTTTTCTGTGGGAAACGGGTCCAAATGGCTCTTTGAGCGTTTAAGGTGGCAGACCCCTGACCATGGCCATGCCCACCCAGGCAGCAAACCGGTTGCTAAAATTTTTCAATCCCATCCCTGATCAAGGCCATTTCCACTGCCACCCCGGTGGGAAACAGCTGGATGCTTAAACGCATGTTGCTCCTGCAGTTTTTTCAGGCCTGTCATTCATAACTTCCGGAGTTCCCCCAATTGCTGTCGTTCAGCTTTGCTTTTTTGCATTTCTGTGGCTTTCCCAAACCGCTTCAATCCGCCGTACCCTGCCATCTGGTGACTTTTTCACACTGAGGCCCGTTTAAATCTAATTTACAGCATATTTGAAGAGCAGGCTGGTCTTTTGAACGCCTTGCCCATTGTCCTTGATGGTGAATGGAAACTAATCAAGGAGAGAAGCAACTTTGAATTGAGGAGAAACTTCCTAACAGTGAGGACCATTAACCAGTGGAACAGCTCGCCACCAGAAGTTGTGGGTGCTTCATCACTGGAGGTTTTTAAGAAGAGACTGGACAGCCACTTATCTGATCAAGTAGTATAGGGTCTCCTATTTGAGCAGGGGGCTGGACTAGAAGACCTCCAAGGTCCCTTCTGGCTCTATTCAGATTGATTGATTGATTGATTGATTGATTTTCCAAGGTGCTAAGTTATAAGAGCCGAGGTTGCGCAGTGGTTAGAGTGCTGTATTGCAGCACTTCAACTGACTGCTAGTTCAACAGATCAGCAGATCAAATCTCACCGGCTCAAGGTTGACTCAGCCTTCCATCCTTCCGAGGTGGGTAAAATGAAGACCCAGATTGTTGGGGGCAATATGCTATTTAGTATACTGCCAATTGTTGTAAGCCGCCCAGAGTCCTCGGAGAGTGGGCGGAATAGAAATATGATTAATAAAAAATAAATAAATAAATAAGTTCCTGCACATGGACTGAGTGAGAAGCACACTCCTGATACCGGAATTCTTAATGTTTAGCTTCCATGACAGCCTTTTCCTAACTGTACACTTCTGTGTTTCTTAATCTTGGGAACTTTAAATCGTGTGGATTTCGACTCCCAGAATTGCCCAGCTAGCATGCCGGCTGGGGAATTCTGGGAGTTGAAGTCCATACATCTTAAAATTGCCCAGGTTGAGAAACACCATTATACAGCTGGTCCTCAGCTTAAAATCACAATTAAGCCCCCCAAATTTCCCTTGTTAAGGAAGGCAGTTATTAAGTGAATCGTGTCCTGTTTTACGACCTTTTGCCATGGTCAAATGACTACAGTTAGCAATAGCACTTAGACTTATATACTCTTCACAGTGCTTTTATAGCCCTCTCTAAGCAGTTTGAAGAGTCAGCCTCTTGCCCCCAACAATCTGGGTCCTCAGTTTACTGAACTCGGAAGGCTGAGTCAACCTTGAACTGGTCAGGATTGAACTGCTGGCAGTCGGCAAAATTAGCCTGCAATACTGCATTCTAATCACAAGGAAGGAAGGAAGGAAGGAAGGAAGGAAGGAAGGAAGGAAGGAAGGAAGGAAGGAAATAACCCCCCCTGAAAATAAGCCCTCCCTGAAAATATTTAAACGCATATGCAGCCGGTCCCTGCCATTTCCTATGGTTTCCTCCACATGCCCCAAAATAATAAGACCTCTCCGAAAATAAGGCCAAGTGCTTATTTTGGGGTTCAAAAAAATTTAAGACAGGGTCTTATTTTCGGGAAAACACGGTAAGTAGAAAAGGAAATAGGTAATAGGAAGAATGAGAAGATTAATAGTAGTGCAGACTTAGTAAATAGTTTGACAGTGTTGAGGAAATTATTTGTTTAGCAGAGTGATGGCATGGGGGAAAAACTGTCCTTGTGTCTAGTTGTTCTGGTGTGCAATGCTCTATAGCGTCGTTTTGAGGGTAGGAGTTGAAAGAGTTTATGTCCAGGATGCGAGGGGTCTGTAGATATTTTCACAGTCCTCTTTTTGACTCGTGCAATATACAGGTCCTCAACGGAAGGCAGGTTGGTAGCCATGGTTTTTTCTGCAGTTCTAATTATCTGTTGAAGTCTGTGTCTGTCTTGTTAGGTTGCAGAACCGAACCAGACAGTTATAGAGGTGCAGATGTCAGACTCATCTTTCAGAAAAAATTTAGATATACCATATTTTTCGGAGTATAAGACGCACCTTTTCCCTCCAAAAAAGAGAGTGAAAATCTGGGTGTGTCTTATACTCCGAATGTAGCTTCGCCCAGCTTCTCAAACGGAGATTTCAGAGGCTGAAAAAAGCATCAGAAACGAAGCTTCAGAAAAAAAGCCCCCAAACAGAGCTTCAGAGGCTTTTTTTCTGAAGCTCTGTTTCAGAGGCTTTCAAAGGGAGGAGAAAAGTTTTTTTTCTGAAACGGAGTTTCAGAAGTTTCAGAGGCAGAAAAAAAAGCAAGGCACAGAGCTCACAACCAAGGAACCTGTTGCTAAAATTCACCTCCGGGAACAGCTGATTGGGGGTATTCCGGGAGGCCAATCCACCTGCCAATCAGCTTTTTTCTTACTTTCCTCCCCCAAAACTAAGGTGCATCTTATACTCTGAAAAAGACAGTATCTTTTAGACATATTCGCCATCTTGAGTTACTTACGGATTAATCAAAGTGGGATTTTTAAAAAATGAAACTCTGGTGCCACGATGCCAGGGGTAGCCCTGGTGCTACGGGTGACGAGCCAAAATCTTTGAATGAACCCGGAGCAGTTTAAACTGTGCACATCCCCAATCAAAATTCTTGAAAGAAATGACTCTTCCCACTGGGACCGAAAACATCCTATCGTTACCTGACCCTCGATTTCCCTCCCTCCCCCCCGTAGTCAAAAACGATGTTCAAAAAGAAAGGTGGGAAAGAAAAGGTTATCCTCTCTTGACTGCAAATCACAGCGCCGTCGTACATATTTTGACAAGGACAGGGAAAACATCCTTGGCAATAATTGCTTCGGAGATCCTTTTCTGACAGCTTGATCAAGCCGCTCGGAGGAATGGATGAGCAGCTCTTTAGAAAAATTAATAGCTGAACTCAGAGCCAAAGAGGAACGATGCTCAGTTTTCAAAACATGCCAAAACCCTCATGTTGGTCTTCTTTCCCACAAAAGGAGGATTACGGTTCTCCCTCTCGGTTGTACTTCAGATACAAGCAGATACAAGCAAGAATAAATGCAGCGATCTCCTCCTGATCTCCGCGAACGAGAGGCGATGCTGAATCAACGGTTATTATAAACATCATTTCGGAGAAACTTTGGTTTTTATAAAGACCACATTTTGAAGGTCAAAGCGGTGGGTGGTAGATTTTATTATCATTTTTTTTTTTAAAAGGCCTCCTCCGTGTCCACGAGACTATTAGAATTCACCTCAGCTTGTGAGTCAAGGTAGCTGTTGTGGCTTGTCAGCAGCCGAATCAGATGAGGAGGAGGAGGAGGCGTGGGAGTCAGGGCCAGCATTAAGGTAACCTGAGAGCTCCGAGGGAGAAGACAGAATGGAGCTGTCAGAGATAGAGACAGAGGCCGTCCATCGGCCCTCAGATGGAGAGTCAACAGCCCCCAGGTCTGGAGGTGGCCGATGAGGAAGAGGAGGAACAGCTGGGTCCAGTGCCTGACGCGTGGATGTGCAGAAGGCAGAGGAGAGGAGAGCAGTGGAAATCTATGAGCCGGTCCTTGGGATGGAAGAGCCACCGCTGCTAGCGAGGCCTTAGCCTAGCTCTGGGGATAAAAGGCAGGGAGCGGAGATGAATAGGTGTGGTAGTCAACTAATCATCTCCCTGCTGGACAGACTTGTTAGTCTGCGGTAAGAGAGAAACTTTTTGCCAGGGCTGCCGGCGCTCCTAATAAAGGAATCTTTGAGTTAACTTCAGAGGGTTTGTCGTGTTTGGGGAGCTGGGTCAGAACAGTAGGCCTCATCTCCGCGATGAAGAGACAATGCTGAATCCACGGTCATCACGACCATCGTTTGAGAGAAACCTGCTTTTTTCTAAAGGCCACATCTTGAAGGTCAAAGCAGTGGGTGGTAGATTTTATTTTATTTTATTTCATTTCATTTTTAAACTCCTCCACCGTGTCCAGGAGGCTATTAGAATTCAC